CCCAGCCTGCTCCACACCCGCCACCCAGTTGGGCACAAAGAACAAGAAGAACAACAACTGAGATTGGCTTGCAGAGTGGGTGGCAGGTGAACAGATGTGTCACTCTGGCTTCCGGGGTGTCTGCAAGCAAGGGCAACATCCTAGCACCCATGGGCTGCACAGGGACAGCGGGACAAGCTGCTGGGCCCTGGCCTGCTTGGGGAGGGGCCAACCAGCCCCCCAGCTTCCAAGGCGGCAAGACTGAAGGGTGACTGCTTGAGGAGCCCCGCCCCAATCCTGCCCTCCGCTCCCATACGCACACAAATGGAAGAGGCCACACTGTGGCCCAGCCACCTCCTCACAGGAGAGCACCTCAGGGACCTCGACACTCCTGCGGGCCAGAGGTGGGGGCTGAGGCCCTCTCGGCCCGGCTAGAGGTAGCCAAAGACATTGAAGATGGGTGGGGGCGCGGCCGGCTTGGTCGGAATGGGTTTCAGCACCACAGGCCTGCACACCTTCTGCCCCAGGCCGTCCGCATCCTTGCAGAGGTGCGCCAGCTCCCCAGGAAAGGCTGGACTCTTCTTCCACAGGCCCAGGCTGGGGACAGGACTCTGAGGCAGGGCCCCCAGCGGGCCCGGGTAGATGGGCTGTCCATGGTACTGGAAGGGGCAGCAACTCCAGGCATTGACGCGGCCCACCAGGGAGACCCCAGGCATCTTGAGTGGCTCCTTTTCAGCCAGGGCCCTCGGAGACATGGGCACTGGGACAATCTCAGGTCCCAGGGGCTCCAAGCCCTTGCAATTTTTCTTACCCTCGTAGGGAGGTCCCTCCCTGGGGCCCAGTCCCCCCTCCAGCCCCACATGGTAGCTGTGGGTGGGCCTCGGCTCTTCCCAGAAGGAAGCAGGCAGCTGTCTTTTCCTCATGGGCACCTGGCCAGGCTGGGCAGCTTCTGGATGCTGCCCCTGTAGGAGCTGCTCCTTAGCAAGACATTCCTCCCTGTAGGGGTTCCTCAGCGCCTTCTCCTTGCAGCCCCCACCCCCGCCGGGGCTGGAATCAGGGCCCAAATCGAGAACCCTCACTCAAACCAGCCAGCTCTGCCAGCAGCCCTCAGCCTGGGGCTCATTCAGCCGGGCCATTCCTGTTTCTGTGGCTCTGAAGTCTCCAGAGGCCATTGGACAGAAACCACTGGCTGGCTTCCTGGTGAGGGGGCTGCCTCTCCAGG